GAATGATCAACGGCCAGGGTTGGCCAAAGGGTTTTGGGTCGGGCGATAGGGTATTGGGCCTAAGGGTTTGGGCTTAATTTTATAAGGGGGTATTAGGCTGGTTAATTTTAGGCTAGAAGTGAAATAAAAGAGGTTGTTTATTAAATACCCAAAGTAATTGAATAAAATTAATTTGTAAAATAATTAATAATTACAAAAATGATTTTTATGCATGGAAATGTTTTATAAATAATTATTTAGTATTTTAAAATACAATGGACTAATTTCTGGTAAAAAATAATGCAAAAATGTATGCATGGGCTATAATTGCAAAGTTATTGTAATTATAGCCAAAAGATGCCAATTTGACTATTCATGAAATAATTGGAACTTAATAATACCATAAATAATAATATTAAATCAAGAAATGTTTTAAAATCATCTGTAATGCAATTTTGTAACTTTATATGAAGAAAATATTGAGATAAATTAATTTAAAAATGTAAGAATTATGGAAAAATACCCATTGATGCTAATGCATAGTTTTAAAGGCATATATGCACTTCAAAAATATTATTAAAAAAAATTGGGTATTAACAGCAGCCACAAAAGACGTTTTTCTTTGCCCTCTTTAGTAGTTTTTGCCATTTTGGGCTTTTTGAACATAGATTTCATTACTTTAATTATCAATATGGGTTTAATTATCATTTCTTCTTCTATTTCTTCTATTTTAAGCATGAGTATCTAGATTCTCACTAGGGTTGTGACCCAACCCTAGAGTGTAAACCTAATGGGTGTTTGACTTATTGCTTGTTTATGATTGAGTGTTTATGGTTTAGCCTTGTTCTTGCTTTTAATTGTAGAATTAATGGTTGCAAACATTAGTTCATGCCTATTTGACTTGGTCTCTACTTGAGAAAGAGCGACTTAGTCTAGGAAAACTTGGCTAAAATGAAATTGGGTAATTCAAGAGATTAGTAGTCCAAATTAAAAAGTTGAACCTAGAGATAGTAAAACCCGACTTGAGCTTTTTATCAACCGTTTTGTTCAATACCCATTTGGACTTGAGAAAGCTAAATTGGGCAAAATCACTCCTTTACCGAGAGGTATTGAGTGGGTACTTGAGTGTTGATAGCTATAATACATCCCGACCAATAAAACAAGCTTTAAAGTTTACAACCCGTTAGGCAAACACCTAGGTGAAGGTCATAGCCCTAGGTCTTTTATATCATTTGAAAAACAACAAAAATAATTTCCTAGTTTCAATTCTTAGTTGTTAATCTTAGCTTAACTTAGACTTAGAAACAACCAAATTCTTTGGAAGTGCAATTTGAGACAATCCAAGCTCATTCACTAGAATATATACTCCTAAGTCACACTCATAGCTCCTTGTGGAAATCGACCCAGACTCCTTGTTGGGTATTACAAATGCATCGACCATTTCATAACCTGAAATAGGTGTGACTTGGACGAGATCAGGATCCCTGTCATATCGAGATGGGCCCAAGCAAAACAACCCATGTTAGCTATAAGAAATTGAATGAGCTTTTTCTTGAGTTCGGGAGTTAACCCCGTGCCCATGTATACCTTTCAATCGGGCAGACGTTCGATCAGCACGACCTGCTCCAGCTCTTCGACCGTTGATTTGGTAGCGTCGGAATCATCGGGAGCTATAAAGGATCGAGGAACCTCGTAATCATTGTCTTCGTCATTCCCCTGCTTGTCCGGTTGGGTTGAGGCTGGCATCGGTGATTGCTATTTGGCTTCCTGTTTTGCTTTCGAACCTGGCTCCTTTGTCGATGAGAGTGTTGATATCGGAATTACTTCATCAACGGCAAACATCTCCTTTGCGGCGGGTTACTCCCCGTAGGCCATCTTGATCCCTTCTGGTGTTGGAAATTTTAATACCTGGTGAAAGGTCGAGGGAGCAGCCCTCATGTTGTGGATCCACGGCCTCCCGAACAGGGCATTGTACCTCATGTCCCCTTCGAACACATAAAACTTGGTCTCTTGGGTGGTTCCAGCTACGTTTACTGGTAATGTTATTTCTACTTTAGTAGTTTCGCAAGCCATGTTGAATCCGTTTAGCACTTGGGCCGCAGGCACGATTTGGTCCTGTAGGCCGAGTTGCTCTACGACCCTCGATCGAATGATGGTGGCCGAGCTACCTGGATCAATTAACACACGTTTAACCCAAGTTTTATTCATGAGAACAGAAATTACCAGTGCATCATTATGGGGCTACATGATTCCTTCTGCATCATCGTCATTGAAAGATAAAGTTCCTTCTGATATGTAATCTCGGGTCCGTTTCTCCCTTGTGATTGATACTTTGGTGCGCTTTATCATCACACCTTGAGGAACATCAACCCCTCTGATGATCATATAAATGACGTGTTGAGGTTCGTCCTGCTCGTTTTGTTTATTGGAATCCCGGTTTCTGAAATGATTCTTGGCTCGGTCGCTCAGAAATTCCCAAAGGTGCCCGTTGTTGAATAAACGGGCTACTTCTTCTCTCAATTGTCGACAATCCTCCGTTCTGTGGCCATGTGTGCCATGATACTTGCATATTTGGTTGGGATCCCTTTGGGCTGGATCGGTTTGTAAAGGCCGAGGCCACTTGGTATCTTTGATGCGTCCGATAGCTGATACGATGGCAGCTGCATCAACATTAAAGTTGTACTCTGATAATCGTGGTGCTTCTTTAGGTCCGATAGGTCTGTCGAAGCTATTCTTGCTCATGAGCCCTTGAGAGATCTGGCTTCGGTCACTTCTCCTTTCATTTCGTGCAGAATTTCGCCCAGATCCGTTGTTCCTACAATCTCCATTATACGGCTGGTATCTCTCTCTGTTCAACCTCGGTTCTCAGCCAGTATCCCTCTTGATTCTATCGACGGGTCTGATAGGATAAACGGAACCGGAAGGAGCCCCAAGTTGATCGTCTTCGACCCTGATCTTCGATTGGTACCGATTATGCACATCTGCCCAAGTAACAGCCGGGTACTCTATCAAATTCTGCTTCAACTGCTATAAAGCCACCGAGCTTCGAACATTGAGTCCTTGGGTGAAAGCTTGAACAGCCCAATCATCAGCGACCGGTGGTAGGTCCATCCGTTCCATTTGGAATCGAGACACGAATTCTCTAAGTATTTCATTGTCTCTCTGCCTTATCTTGAAAAGGTCCGACTTCCTGGTTTCGACCTTGATGGCCCCGGCGTGTGCCTTTATGAAAAAATCTGCAAGCATAGTAAATGAGTCAATAGAATTAGGTGGTAAATTATGGTACCATATCATAGCTCCCTTTGACAGGGTCTCTCCGAATTTCTTCAGCAAGACAGATTCGATTTTGTCATCCTCTAGATCATTCCCTTTGATAGCACATGTGTAAGTGGTGGCATGCTCGTTCCGATCGGTCGTTCCATTGTACTTAGGAATCTCGGGCATGCGAAACTTCTTGGGGATCGGCTTTGGAAACGCGCTCGGGGGGAGGGGGGAAGGTTTTTGCACGAACTTTTTGGAGTCCAGTCCTTTCAATATTGCCGGTGCCCCCAGGATGTGATCGACCCTGGAGTTGTAAGTTTCCACCTTCTTGTCGTTTGCCTCGATCTTCATTTCCCCCGACTCAATTTGTTTTGTCAGTTCTTCGAGCATCTTCATGATTGCGGGATTGGTCTCCAATTCTTTCTCGTTTGATTTCCTTGTAACCGATTCGACCCCTTGAACAACTTCCTGGGACGGCTCGGGCTCGATCCTACTCGGTAGGTGATTCTGGTTTTGGAGCTGGGCTATCGCTTCCTGTTGAGCCTGCAACATTTCAAAGATCACCCGCAGGCTGATCCCGCCATCTTCGCCGCCATGAGTGCTTTGAGCGGCTGATCGAACATCCCCACGGACGTTGCCCTCAGAATTGACGGCCAAATTTGCATTGATGGCCATATGTGAGCTGACATCGATTGGATCTACACCCGGAACTCCATCGAGGCCAACCGACGGTACGTCGTTCCCTGGTGCTATGTTATCACTTTCGCCGTGGTGGCCGAAATTATTGCACTGTGTAGGGGTGCTGACTGAGAGTTCGACATTTTGGTCCTGGAATCAAAGATATTCCAAAGAACAAGTGTAAAATAGTGTGTGTTATGAAAGTTTGTACCAGGTAATCACTATTATCCTTAGCCCCGCGGTGGGCGCCAAACTGTTTACCCTTAAAATTGGATAACAATTGAATTTATACGCGGTTTTAAGGATACATGATATAACTTGACACCTATTAAGAAGACATATTAATATTGAAAATAACGATAAGAAAGTAAATGCAAACCACAAAATTGAACAGCCTTAGCCTCTGAGTTTGATCACCCTCGAGCCAAGAAATGTCTCAACTAGTGTTAGAATTGAATAAGAAGATGATAAGAACTAGAAATGATCAGTATATTGCTTTCCTTTTGCTTGTTACAATGTGCGCTATAAATGATCAGAACCCCCCTTTATATAGTAGGGGTGTTCTACTCTTGGTACAATTCTATACAAGGTAAAAAAATCTCATGATTTGCTAATTAATCGACCTCTTCTTTATACGTGCCGAGATTTCCGCCGTGATCCTCGACCGATTGCGGATATTTCGGCTTTCCGTTATTTGGTTCGGCAAGTTTCCCTCGATCAAGCTCGGTCTTCGGGTCACGAGCTCGACGATCTAATTTTGCGCCTTGGTTCGATATAATCCGAGCTCGAGCTGCGACCTGCCATGTTTCAGCCTCGACTGGTCAAACAGTAGATGAACCCGATTTCGACCGTATACACATTCATTTACAGTTTATCTAGATTTAGTAAACATGTTATGCATGCGAACTAACAAATCACCCCTCTCTCAACAAAACTCGTACAAGAATGTAATTCCAAGTTTCTAAGTTGGATTCTATATGTAGTAATTCAAATTGCATATATAACCTGCATATGTTACTCTAAAAACTAAAATGTGTCGCTGAAAATTTAGCTAAAAGTGACTTGATTTGAGATTTGACAAGTAGCATGAACACGGTGCAAATTATCTGAACTCGTAGTACATACATACTGTTTCAGTGATTCACAACATGCTGCAGGTTTAACCATTTGACAATTAAAAGCAACGCTGATTACATATACACATGTGATAACATTATGAAGAAAATGAAGAAGCAGCAGTTTCTCTCAAATGCACGTTGGTAGGCCATTGACCACCACCACCTTGTTCCTCCTCATCTATAAATATTCTCAAATCATCGGTCCTCCTAAGAGCTCCATGAGCCACCACTATCGCCACCCCAACAGCTAGCCCTGATACCACATTCATAGTTGATATTAAAAGCAACAAGACCATTGTAAATATAGACAAGAAGGTCAAAACCACACGTTCGTCCACAATGTACCCGAATACTACCAAAGGGTTATCGCGGAGGAAATAAAGGAAGAGCCATGCGGCTACGGTGATGAGGAATACGACGAGTGAAACTGGGTGCCACAAGAGGCTTAAGAATATCACGAAAAGGATAATGATCACGTAGTTCATGTGGAAGTAGGATGAATTGGTTTTGATACGTAAAAGGGCATCGCCGGAGCTTTCAGGGAGAGAGAAAGAGAGCATTTCCTTCCAGGGGCGGCGCGTACCTAGCAGGAGACAGCCTGATGATCTCATCATCCCCATGTCGTCCGATGATGTTGTAATTGTGGGTATTGTCCCATATGTTGTCATTTTTCTCGGAGATTTTCTTCTCGAGAGAAAAAATCTCAAAGGGAAAATGAGGAGAGAAAGAGGAATTTGGAATGAAGATTGGCAATTGAGGGAAGTTGCAGTCTCTCTCGGATAATTTCCTTGTTTCTCTCTAGGGGCTGTGTTTTTCTTTTCTTTGTGTTTTTTTTTTTCTCATATTATATTTCTATTTCTTCTTCCTATTTTTGTTTCCTGAAGTATTAGTCGATGGCCCGAGGTAAAGCACTCAATAGGTTAGGGTGACCTCATTTCGCCTTACCAACCCCAGAAAAACTACGAATACAGGCTTAGATTGTTTCTACAAACAGATTTTTTTTTCTCTACTAATGTGCGGCATGATTTATAGAACCCATAAACTTATGGAGTATTTAATAGTGAATGAACAAATCTTGCACATTCCTTTTATTATTTAATGGACTTATGAATAAAAGACAATCCTATAATATGTACCCTTGTGTTCTACCATAGAAATTAAAGTTCCGCAAATTCAATCAATTGAACATTGTGTAAAAATTATTTAGGCAGTGATACAAGTTTGACTTGTTTTGATATAGTATAAACAACCATCAAGCTATCTGCAGACTGCCTTTATGATAAATCCAACGAATTAATGGTACCAGTAATTATTATACCATGAGCACAGATTGAGAAGTATCACAAATGACAGGAAGTAGTGTTTTCGACTCACTTTTTCCACATAATTAATGAACAAAATTCCATCTATATATGCTGCAAGTATTACTACCACGATCGTCTCAAAGAATGGAGTATATTACTACATTACCTAGAGTGGCGCAAAATGTAGCAACCAAAAAGGAAAAATGACTATAGGGTTTCAACAGATACAGATAGGTTATGTGCCTATTCGAGTGCAAGCTACTGATACAGAGATGAAACAAGTAAGCGTTCTACGTAGAAGAAGCTGCTGCAGGTATATCACTTGGTCCCAGAAAGGAGTTCAAGTGTGAGATCTCCCACTCCTATGGGCGGGCCAATACTGCAACGGGCTGTGTTATGTAATTGTATCGCATCTTTTATCTTCTGAAACTGCATAAATTATTACCGCAGAGAAGGTTATTCATCTCGAATGAAAGTAGTAAACGGTAGCTAATAAAGTCCAAATGGGGAAACAAAACAAATTTTCAGATGTCTTACTTTGGCCAGTGAGCAAGAGAAGGACTCTAGTTGTCCATCAGCTCCGCGATAGAAATGGAAATATGGAAGGACTTTTACGTTCAAAGCCTTGCACATTGGCTTATTTGCATCAAAATTCACTTTCAGAAACATGATTTCGGGGTTCTCCTGGGCAATTCTGCAGAGCTGCCAATTGAAAAATGCAAAATCAATTTCTAGAGAATTGGAGACAAAGCAACCTTAAAGACCAGATATCTTCTTAAAGTGGCTTAATGGAAAATTCAAACCATTGTTCAACTCAAGTAATCATGGAAAGCATATAGCAAAGGAAACCATATATACAATGCAAAGGACTCGGGTGAGGAGATCAATTAAAATCCTTTTAAATAAGCTTATTCAAAAGTCATTATCCTGTCTTGTAGCTCAACCAAACTACATTAAGGAAATGGACCACCAGTACAATTCAAGAAACAGGATGATGTTTCAAATTTATTATGCTTCTGCACAATCCTGTATATGATACTTATCAAGAATCAATTTCAGAGGCAAGAAAATGTTTGGCTTCCTTCCGATATTCTGTCTGCTAGGTTAGAAGCAGCAAGTTATGAGTACATAAGATCAGAAACATGACGGAATAGTCTCTTCTACTGTTTAGACAATCAATACGGAAATCTAATTCTATGCATATGAGATGACGATTTTGTTTTAGGAGCAGTAAGATCGTTGTAGACTTCAATTTGAGATCCTCCGAGAACAAATATAAGAGAGAAAGTCAGTGAAGAAAGCATAACCTGTAATGCAGGACAATAAGGAAACAGTGCCAGTTTTAGTTGGACATTATGATCAATAACCTTGAGATGTAAATGATTACAAACTGTAGCTTTCCCAAAAGTTTTACTGTAAACAACCATGTTTTGGCACAAAATCCACAAGAGAAATACAACTCTATATAAAGCTGAAGGCAAACTGCCTTTTTTAGTTTTGTTTTTGGTGCGGAATGGATCTTGTACGTGAAGCTGAACCAGTTTTAGACTTGTTAGAGTGCCCACATGTTGAGAAATGGATATACCCTTGTTTTTTTTCACACTTCCGGCCACTGGATTATTGTACAGAATCTACTAGAACATCTTTGTGCTATATTGAATACAAACCTTACCACTTCCCATAACAAGACAAAAGAAAAAAAAATTGTTATAAGGAAAATGTTCTTTTTCCCTTCTAGCCAGAAAGCATCACAATCATGTCAATGCTGCGGAAATATATTCTAAACGGACGTATAGAGCAGATTACAATGACCCCAGTTCATATGAGTAGACAGCTACCACAATAAGATCTTTAGAAGTTGCTGAAAGAGATGAACTATCTTCTTGAAACTTGCTCTTTACGTTAGAAATGACAGCATGGAGTAAAATTATAGGCTTTCATGATGGGCAGCAAGAAGAGCTTACCTTGGGAAATAGTGCTTTGCAGGAAGCACACCATGTTCCATAGAATTCTACAATAACAAGTCTTTCTCCAGCCTGACTAAGTGCATCCAAGAATTCTTTCGTAGAATGAATGTCAACCATGTTAGGCCCTGCATTTCGCTCCCACCATTTTGGTTCCTCAGTTCGAGTAACAGTAGCATGTACCTAAGAAGCATTGAACAAAAGGCACAAAATGTGTAAAGAAGACTTTTAGGGATTTACCTTCAGAATGCCATGAACTGTAAAGTAGAAGTCCGCATGCAGATGAATGCATCTACTTGTTCATAAAATATAAAAATAAATACCAATTCCTGCTCAAACGTCTCCACCCAAGCTTAGATGGTCAAATTTAGAAGGGATGAGTAACAAACCAAATTTGGCAACTAAAATTCTAGCTGAACTCTCAAAAGAGAATAGAAACACACTATATCAGAATTACTATAATAATAAAATGTGTCGCATTATGAAACTACATCAAAGTTTGCCACTGTTCGAAATGAGTTAATCTTTAATCTTTTTGATGGGCTAGCAAATAAACAAGCTTGCTGGAAAAGAATCGAGAACCTGAATAGTAACCTTAGAGGAGGTGTTAACAGTCCCTTCTTTCCCACTAGTTAATTTCGAAAACTAAAGACCTATTCAAAGATCATAATGGGGACAGTTGGATGGCATAGTCAAATGCCGAAGGATTAGACAAATGAAAGCCAGCATCAGTAAAAATGCACCATCACTGCACATGGTCCAGAAACCACCTTTGTATCAAGTGAGGATGCATATTGGGTTTGGCATCTAAGGCTGCTACATTGAGCCAAGGTCTCCATTTGGAATCTGAGCACAAGGAAGCCCAGACGTAAACCAGTAAAGTTTGCACAGTTTGGAAGTTTCAAAAAACAACGCTCATAAATACTACAAAGGGTCATAGACAGCAAGCCATGGTCGGTAAGTGCATTACTTCTGTGCCTATTATCTCTGCAGACCAATGTTTGAACAACCAGAAACACCTATGAATGAGCTTGATCCTGGAAATAGGAACTCTTCTCCCAACCTAACTTTTTCAGTTTCCCGTTTTCGCCAGTTTAACAACAGATGCAGTAGAGTCTAGAGACTTCAACCTATGCTTATTTACTAAAAGTCAATTTCCAACAGTCATTCTAGGCTGAACTTATCTGAAAAAAAAAAACACTCCAAACCTCGCAAGTAGAGAACTTTATCATTGAGATCTTCGAAGAATCCAGAATTTAACTTAACTTTTCTCAAAAAGAAAAAAAAAATAGAATTGATGATAAGAATAGAAGAAATAGCAAAACACAATTATGCATGTGGCTTTTAATGGCAGGGGTGCAACCGTAAGGATTATCATAGCAGAAGCTTTCTCACATCATAAGAGACAATGGTTAATGCAGTCAGTCATAGTTATAATTATGCAGTAACCTATGAAACGATGACTACTTCACCTGACGATTCTTATCACCAAATGCTAAGCCCTTGCAGAAAGTTACTCTGTTCTACCATTCAAATATTTGATCCGCCATGAATGTTGATGCTAATGTTAGTGGCCTGCCGGCGTTATAACTTTTTTGTTTTACTAGCATTCTGTAGAGTGCTCTATTCTCGAACAAGCTCAACATAAATAAAACCATGTCCTTTCATTACCCAATAAACATGACGTCTTTTTCAGAACATTGTGCTAAATAACATATGTGGTGAATTACTCAAGTCTCTGCATAACTAAAGTAATGATTAATCATATGCATCTTCCTTTTTTGGGATAATAGCAGTGTCCAACTTGCATGTACTTCAACTATTCCATATGGTACCTACATCCTCCCAACTAGGGTAACTTTGTTCATTAACGCTTAAGCAAATAGGAAGAAATCACCTAGCTTTTTGCCTATCTGCTGGAATCTGACCCCTTGTTTTCCATGGTCTTCCTTCCAACTTATCCATTAATCATATGCATCTTGACTACTAATTTAGTGATTACTAAAATCAGCATAACAAAGACACTTAATTTCAATTTTGGTGTTTAAACAGAACAAAAAGGACTGTAGGATCCCTAAAATGCTCCCTTCAGCTGCTAAAAACACAACTTGCAAAGATATTTGAAGCATAAAAGACCTCAAACCTCAAATGAGCTAAGCACAAATACTGCCCCACCGTAAAAAATATCCTCATTTGAAATTGAAATAATAATAGGCGGAAAAAAAAACACAGTAAAAAGCAGGAATCTTTACCTTAAGAGCAGGAAATCGCTTGTTGGGCCTTAAAGAAATTCCGGAAACGAAATCCACAGAGGTTGAAGGAGAATCAGAAAGGGAGACAGCCCTTTTATGCAACTTTTGATTTGATGTTTGGATAGAATTCAAAGATGAAGAGAATGAGGTTAACAATGAAGAATTTGAAGCAGAAGAAGAAGAAGAAGAGAAGCGTAAAGAGTTAAGAGAAAATCCCATTATATCAGCTATAGAAGAACACAAATAAAGTAAGAATCTTTAATATGTTTGTTAAATTTCTTCCTCTGAATCTTATATTAAGTATTTGGGGAATCTTAGTTCCCTATATATATAAACACACAAGATTGAGTAAAACCCAAGTTACATCAATGAGAAAATGAAGGCCATTGAATTGATCTTTGATTTTTCTTGTGTTCCAATAGAGATATTGGTATTACTATGTGAAAATGGTGTATTACT